ATTATTTATTGAAATTTGTGCTTGTCTCACTTTTTAGACCATTTTTAATTACTGAAGGGTAATTACCCACCCCCCAAACTCTGAGCTCACTGAAGGCAGATTCTATCTTTTAACCACCTTTCACCCCTAACGTCTATCCTTTAATAGATACCCAATAAATATTTCACAGGTGAAAGAGGGGACTAAGAGATGCTTATGTGTACACTGCAATGCACTAAGTGAGAAATGCATCTGGTTTTAACTTACAAAACTACAATCCTGTTTATGTCCTGCATTCAGCACATTCCATCCACTTTCCACGGCTCCATCCTCTATGTGCTACCCTAGTTGCTGGGCTACATCAAATGTTGCCTCTGTAACTCCAGGGATCCCTTGCTTATTGCCCATTGAACAGTCCTCAAGCCTTCTCTGTTCTGAAGAGATCATTTTGCTTACAGGGAGAAGCCAGGAAATGTGGCACAGTGATTAAACATGTAGGCTTTGAAATATGTAGATATGGGATTGCCGTGCTAAGTTGGATGAGTCACCTAGCCCCTCTGTGCTAGGTAGAAGGAATGTAATACCTGAACTTAAAGATTATATTGGTCAGGTGTTGGCAGGAAACTGTCATCACCCTAGCTGCTCCAAATGAATAGATTACTTAGAAGAGTTTCAACAAGAGTAAGGGAACAAACAAAAGTTGGTGGGGGATGGCTCCGTGCCGTGGCACAATAGTTATGGTGCCAGCCACATACACTGAGGCTGGCAGGTTCAAACCTGACCCAGGCCAGTTAAACAACAATGACAACTGCAACAAAAAATAGGTGGGTGGTGTTGTACCTGTAGTCCCACGTACTTAGGAGGCTGAGAGAAGAGAATTGCTTAAGCCCAAGAGTTCGAGGTTGCTGTGAGCTGTGATAGCATAGTACTCTACAGAGGGGGACATAGTGAGACTCTGTCTGAAAAAAAAAACAAAGTTGGTGGGGCAGCTAGTGACTAGCAACAGTAGGAAGTCATTATCATCCTTAAGGCTGAAAAAATGAAGGGAGGAAATAATGTTACCTTAGTCCACTGAGATCTGGAATCCTGGAGAAGAAAGGTGGCCTTACAGGTACCTGTGTGAGGGATATAGGCTGGAGAGCTGGAGATGCAGCCCAAAGCATCAAGGGAATAAGGAAGAAATATCCCAGCAGCTCTCTCATGCCTACTCCAATTGCCTGCTGGTATTACCTATTGGTTGAACAGAAATGGCAGTGAAGAGGCAAATTAGTATTGGGAGCTGCAGCCTGTAAGTCTGACTTCTGGGTTCACATAGCAGGTAAGAGATAGCCAGAGGAAGAGTTGAAGGGCCAGAGACTAGCCAGTACAAAGATTAAATGAGAAAAAGAAATGTACTTTCCGTATGACCTGGCACATAGTAAGTGCTCAAGAAATAATAATTGTGGTTACTATTACTACAACTATGGCTGCAACATTAGTGTGCTTTCTGATTATAACTGATGCCATCTTCACACCTCTGAGCAGCAAATCCAGGCCTCTGACTTCACAGTCAGCACCGCCATTTTAGTAATACTCATTTTACTCAGTCTCACAGCTATTTCTCTTGACATCAGGACCTTGATTCCCATCTCTGTTGTCATCAGGCTGAGTTAGGCTGCTTAACTTATCTTCAGGTTTGAAGCAAGAAAAAATAACCTCTAAGGCAATGGTTCTCAACCTGTGGGTCGCGACCCACAGGAACTGTATTAAAGGGCCGCGGCATGAGGAAGGTTGAGAACTACTGCTCTAAGAACTTTTTTTTTTTTTGCAGTTTGGCCAGGGCTGGGTTTGAACCCACTACCTTGGCATATGGGGCGGGTGCCCTACTCACTGAGCCACAGCCGCCACCCTGGAAAGAACTTTTGAGAAAACTATCTATCTAGGTATCAATCCCTTCCCATAAGGTCAACTTAACAAATTTTCTTTTTTCCTTCTTATCTAATGGACTGAGACTAAATGGCCATGCTAATGACAGCTGTCTTGCGTTCCAACGGCTAGTGCCCTGCCATAAAATACACATGCTCATTAGGCCCTTGCCACTATTCAGTTTGCTGCTGTCTTTGCTCTCATCCCTGTCACTAGACCAAGGTCTCAGAATCTGATGCTGCCCGGCCCTGTTACCATCTCTCTATTCACCACTCAAATTGTCAATGCCGTTCTTTTCCTTCCCTCACTTTTCCTTTTTCCTAGGTCTCTTGTCATGTTTCCCGTTCTTCTCAGTGTTTGTAATAGCAAGGCTAGTCTCTTAGGCAACAATGCCAGCCGATCAAACAGTTCCTATCCTTGAAGGAGACAAACTGATTAATCACTGCAGATGAGATAAAATCTTTGGCTCTTTGATTCTTCTTGGCTGTGTTGTTGAGTAGCCAGGGTTTGAGGTTTCTGAAGGCTAAATGTGATCACTAACCTCCTCACGTAGTAAGTTTGGTTGAACACGTGCTGCAGGTGGAAAGTCGGTGAATTGGATACGGTTTAGAAAAGCAGAGAGAGCTTGTGGCTCCAGGGCACAGTCGTGTGGAACACTCTCTCCCCACCCCACCCCACTGTTGCCCCTTTGGGTGGAGGCAGGAAGATGTATTAAGAATAAATATCCAGTCATTGTGGAGCCTGGTTCCTAATTCTCACAAATAGCATAGTTCTTGGTGGGCCAAGAGAACACTTCTCTCCTAAACATTAGGAGCTTCTAGGAGTCAAAGGTTTGAATGGACACCATTTATGAACCTAAATATTGACTAAATAACAGAGCCTAAATTGTGTGCTTATTATATGTACATTGAATAATCATTTAGTGGCACATAGAGTCCATCGATTTCATCATTCTTAATGCATTCATTTTGAAGACTTGTAATTTGAGATCTATTTAGAAAACAATGTTGTATATTACTGGAATTCAACCCAGGGTATAAACTGCATTGTCTTAAGAACTGGACAGATAAGATTTAATAGGATTAAGTTTGGCTTTCAAAGTAAACTCTAAAAGTCAATTCTGATGCCACTAAGACATTTTCACTTACTCAGCTTGTCTAGGAAGTTAAGGCACATTGCATCAGCTTTAATAGAATTCAGCTTTTGAAGGTCTGAAAAATTCTATAATGAACAGCAATTGTTTCATTATTTAAGAAAAGGTCAGAATTAAGTATGTCAACACAGTCACCTAGACGCGCTTGCTATACTCAAGAACAAAACTAACAATCAGGCATATGTTTAGTGAATAAGAAAGCTCATCCTTCTATTAAGTGTTAACCTTTTTTTTTTTTTTTTTTTTTTTGAGACAGAGCCTCAAGCTGTCCCCCTGGGCAGAGTGCCGTGGCATTACAGCTCACAGCAACCTCCAACTCCTGGGCTCAAGCGAGTCTCCTGCCTCCGCCTCCCAAGTAGCTGGGACCACAGGCGCCCGCCACAACGCCCGGCCATTTTTTGGCTGCAGCCGTCATTGTTGTTTGGCGGGTCCGGGCTGGGGATTCGAACCCGCCACCTTAGGTGTACGTGGCTGGCGCCTTAGCCGGTTGAACTATAGGCGCCGAGCCAACCTTTTTTTTTTGAGAGAGAGCAAGCCTCAAGCTATCGCCCTGGGTGAAGTGCCATGGCATCACAGCTCACAGCAACCTCCAACTCCTGGGCTCAAGCGATTCTCCTGCCTCTGCCTCCCAAGTACAGGCGCCTGCTACAACGCCCGGCTATTTTTTGGTTGCAGCTGTCATTGTTGCCTGGCGGGTCTGGGCTGGATTCGAACCTGCCAGCTTAGGTGCATATGGCTGGCACCATAGCTGCTTGAGCCACAGGCACCAAGCCTTAATTAGTGTTAACCTAATAGAAACAAAAACTCTTAAGTCACCTCATCCTAGTCTTAAAAATTTAACAGTCAGTATTTCATCTTCTTCCTTTCTCATCTCTAATCACAGCTATGGCCGATGCAGTGATAAACCAAGACCAACTAATCTGCCTTCTTCTCACAGGACAGTCATTAGCACAATCATTTAATGAGCTTACTAAATCCAACAAAGTTCTCAGTGGGAGAGGTACAGAAAGGTCAACAGCAAGGAACCATCCCCTAACCCTGCCAAACATTTCACTATGAAAATGTTCCGTCTTAAGGACTTTAAGGTAGAAAACAGGAAACTCACCTGTAATCCTATGTATAAAGTTAAAAATACACCTTAACCAAACAGTATTCCTGGGAATTGTTAATTAATCTTAAAATTATCTTAAAAATGAGGAGGAGATGGGGAGACTGACAATGTCCATCAACAGAGAAAGAATAAATTGTGATCTATTCAAACACTGGAATGCTACTTGGTAATAAGGAATAGACTGAACACACTTTCAACATAAATGAATCTCAAAAAAATTGAGTGTAAGTTAGATACAAGAGTACATGTATGATTTCATTTGTATGAATTTCTAGAACAAGCAACACTAATCTACAGAGATAGAAATCAGGAAAAATAGTTACGCAGGGCAGGGTTAACTGGGAAGTGGCATGAGGAAATGTTCTGAAGTAATGGAAAAATTCTATATTTTTATAGGTGTGGAGATTACCAAATCTCACATTAAAATTTAAAATCTGTGCATTTCATTAAATGTAAATCATACCTCAGTGGAAAATATGTTTAAGTATTAATACATGTATCTATTGGATCCTAAAGTAAAATAAAGTCTACCAGTCTTAGAAAGCATCTAATGGGCTCGGCGCCTGTGGCTTAAGCGGCTAAGGTGCCAGCTACATACACCTAAGGTGGCAGGTTCGAATCCCCAGCCC